GTCTGTCTGACAGAGAGTCCTGATGCAATCTGAAGGCTCAAGTTGATCTTTGCTGAAGTTAGTTGATGGAAAAGAACCAGTTTGAGTCAGATGATCTTGGTGAATGGAAAGTCAAGGCCCGAGGCCTGGCGCGAACTTAGGGTGTCCTTAGGAGCGTTCTAGCTCACATCTTCTCAGAATCTTACAGAAACTCAGACTGGAGGCGGGTCACTGATGTAAGGCCTTTAAGGCCTGACAAGATTCACGCCTCTCAGGATGAGCTTGTCCAATAAGAAAGGCTGAAATTCCAAGCGGGAGTTTGGAAATACTGGGGAGTTTTATGACCCTTTGTGTGAAAGCATGGTAATTTGCATATGGAACTTGAATCGAAATTACTAAAGATTCTCAATAACTAATATATTGCTTATGTACCAACATATAATATACACTCTCGTTTAGATCATCATATAAAAGACAATATACAAGGACAGTAACAACACAAGGATATGTGTGTTCAATTAAAGAAAGGTTTTCCTATGAATTAATTAGAGAAGAGTCTTTTTACTGTGCATTGTGTCTTTCCTATGGAAAATGTAGTGAGTTTCTCCACCCACATTCCTTTGGGCAATAAAACCAGTGTTATCAGCATTGGTTGCCATGGAATCAGAGGCCTATTCTGCCTTTCTGAGGTGTTAAGATGCATTTCGGGGGAGGGGTCCATAGGCCCTCATATGGCTTGTTAACTGAGGGGTGTTACAGAGTGTTTGTTAAATATAACTAACAAAATATATACAGGTGCATCTCAATAAATTAGAATGTCGTGGAAAAGTTCATTTATTTCAGTAATTCAACTCAAATTGTGTGTCAAAGAAACCTGGGCTTCCATACCACCTCAGCAGTGCCACAAACTGATCACGCCGAATTGAGGCAAGTATTGAGTACATGTACAGTAAATTAACATACTTTCCAGAAGGCCAACAATTCACTAAAAATGTTTTTTTATTGGTCTTATGAAGTATTCAAATTTGTTGAGATAGTGAATTGGTGGGTTTTTGTTAAATGTGAGCCAAAATCATCACAATTAAAAGAACCAAAGACTTAAACTACTTCAGTCTGTGTGCACTGAATTTATTTAATACACGAGTTTCACAATTTGAGTTGAATTACTGAAATAAATGAACTTTTCCACGACATTCTAATTTATTGAGATGCACCTGTATGTCTGATTGGTCCAGACGCAACAATTATGAACTTGCTAACTAAAATATTAAAATGTAAAAATGCATTTATGCTTATGAGAAATATTTAATCAAAAGAATCCCATACATCCATGTCTCTTGGTAAATAATCCATTGTGATTTGCTGTTATCACAGCCCAGAACACAGCACAGCAGTTCGGTCCTACAAATGGCGGCCGCACCACTGTGTGACGTCACATGAAACCTGTGAATTATCTCATCGCACTGGATTGAATAAAGCAAGGACAGAGTTTACCACAAATGCAATGTAATGAGTGCATTCAGTGTTTATCTTACATGTGCATACAAACAAGCAGCTCATTAACACAAAAAGGCTGATGATGACGATTGCAGGCGCACTCTTATATTCATGGTGCTCCAGTGATGACATCATAGACTGACGTCGGCCAATAGGATTGTTGTGTTTGCACACATGCTTCAGACACCGGTAACGCTGATGAACTTCCCCATAACGTCAGTCCAAGACCAGTGTTGGGGTATCGCATTACAAGTAACGCGAGTTACGTAATCAGATTACTTTTTTCAAGTAACTAGGAAAGTAACGCATTACTTTTTTAATTTACAAGAAAATATCTGAGTTACTTTTTCAAAAAAGTAATGCCAGTTACTTTGTTTTCCCATTTATTGACTGACAGCTCTCCTGTCCCCATATTGGGAGAAATCGGGAGTACAGAGGCGTTGTGTGCGCTGTGTGAACATGATGTTACTGGATTGAATAAAGCAAGGACAGAGTTTACCACGAATGCAATGTAATGAGTGCATTCAGTGTTTATCTTACATGTGCATACAAACAAGCAGCTCATTAACACAAAAAGGCTGATGATGACGATTGCAGGCGCACTCTTATATTCATGGTGCTCCAGTGATGACATCATAGACTGACGTCGAATATCATTCTACATATGTTTGCACACATGCTTCAGACACCGGTAACGCTGATGAACTTCCCCATAACGTCAGTCCAAGACCAGTGTTGGGGTATCGCATTACAAGTAACGCGAGTTACGTAATCAGATTACTTTTTTCAAGTAACTAGTACAAGTAAATTTACAAGATAATATCTGAGTTACTTTTTCAAATAAGTAACGCAAGTTACTTTTTTCCAATTTATTGATTGACAGCTCTCCTGTCCCCATGTTGAGAGAAATTAGATATTACTGTAGTTCTAAAAGAAATATGAATATGCATAAATTTATCTCACTCACAAAAAAACAAAAACACAGATTCAGTATTCCTCAAAATGAATAAAAATAATGCAACTCAGAATATGGCGCAAACCTGCAATAATTAAATGTTAAACAACACAAATATCCTTTATGTATTTAATCCTATTCTACTAACCAATGTCTTTGCTTCTGACCTTCAATGATCCAGTTCAACCATACTAATAAGCACAAATTACTCTAGACAACATTTGTGTGTCTTTGTTTATTGCTGAAGTGTGTTGAAATTTCTTCTTCTACATTCTACTGTACGGATGTAAATTTACTTTCCCTTCAGCCCGAGGCTTATTCATTTCACTTTTGGTATGAAAAGGCTTTTATACTGTATTTGCCAAAAATATAACTTTTTTATTTTGAAAACAAACAAGCAAGACCTGTCCAGATTTAAAAAGTAACGCAAAAGTAACGTAACACATTACTTTCCATAAAAAGTAACTAAGTAATGTAATTAGTTACTTTTTTATGGAGTAATGCAATATTGTAATGCATTACTTTTAAAAGTAACTTTCCCCAACACTGTCCAAGACGCAGTGTCCCGTTCCTCCTCTCAGGGAGCCATGGTAACGGTCATAATTTGAGACGTTCTCTGTCTCTTTAAATGAAAACACTTAAATCATGGGAAAACACCCCATGATGACTGCTTTACCATTTGAACTTTATGTATCTGTAGACTACATTGTGAGTTGTGGTTTCAGTCAGAGTACTTGTAATCCGGATTTGGTAATCTGAATTATTGATTGAATCTGAATCATGAATCATTCTAATCCACAATACATTTTGTAACAACCTGGATCTGTAGATTGGGACAATATGCTATGTGAGCAGTGGTAATTTAACACCAGGGATTTAGCTTTGTTTTACCTACATTTTAACCAGTTTATTATTCTAAATTGTGTCATAAATTAAGGAAAAATAATCGGTACGTGAAACATCAGGTTAACTGTCCAGGTGTCGTCAGGTTGATGTTCTGTTTCTGTTCCGGGACTCTTATTTTGATGTTCTTTTCATCCTGTTGTATCTTGTTTCTAGTTTCCTGTGTCTTTTGTTTCCTTGGTTCCTAAATATCTTCTCATCTGTTTCCATAGTTGCTGATTCGTTTGTTACCTGTGTATACTGTAGTTTGGTTCTTAATTTTACAAAAGTAAAAGAAAATAAATTAAAAATAAAAGAAAGACACTCTAACACTAGCGTTCCCTTTTCTTTTTCTATTCTATGTAGTTTTTTCTTTTAATTATAAAAAATACAAATAAAAAAGCCTTGCTACATGTACAGCGTTAGGCTAACGTCTCTAGGTTACGTACTGTATGTAACCATGGTTCCCCGAGGGAACGAGACGCTGCATCGAGTCGCTTTGGGAACGCCCCTTGCGTGACCGCGTTCTGAAACACGTGTCAAATCCGTCCAATGGAGCAGCGAGACGTCACGAGCAGGGTGACATAAGCACCAGAAAGCATAAAAGCACATCCGGCCGGGCGCAAACCAGCTTCGATGAAGTAGCGCCTGCAGGGATGCAGGGAGTATGGCAAAGAGACGCAGCGTCTCGTTCCCTCGGGGAACCATGGTTACATACGTAACCTAGAGACGTTCCCCTTCAGGAACTCGAGCTGCGTCGAGTCGCTTTGGGAACGAGAATACCAACTGCGCCCTACTACCAAGTCCCTGCCTGTGTGTGTATCTTATGAGCACATCACGAAGAGAGAACTTGGGAACCTGGGGTAGAAGCCAGGTCTAGGTTGTAAAAGCGGACAAAAGTGTGTGGAGAGGACCAGCCCGCCACAGCACAAATGTCCTGCAAGGCCACACCCAGGCTGAAAGCCTTGGAGGCCGCCATACTCCTGGTCGAGTGCGCTCTGACCCCCATAGGTGATGGGAGGCCAGAGGACTCGTAGGCTAGTGAGATGGCCTCGACCACCCACCTACCCGTAGTCTGCTTGGTCGCCGGAAATCCCTTCTTTGGCGGACCAAAACAAACAAAAAGCTGATCTGCCTTACGCGACGGGGCAACTCTGTGTGCGTACGCGTCCAGTGCTCGAACTGGACAGAGCAGATTACGCCTTTCTTGGCCTACTTCCTGGTATGGAGGAGGACAGAATGCCTTAAGTACTATGGGCCCTGGTGAAGAAGTGGGCACCTTAGGGACATACCCGGCCCTCGGGTAAAGGAATGCCTTAACCATGTCTGGAGCAAACTCCAGGCACGAATTAGAGAGTGCCTGAAGATCCCCGATCCTTTTTAGTGAGGAAATAGCGAGGAGAAAGATGGTCTTGAGCCTGAGCAACTTGACCGAACTTCTTCTATGGGTTCAAAGGGGGCATTGTATGAGCCCTCCAGAACCACAGCCAGGTCCCATGAGGGCCTCAGGGTGCCACGGAGGAAACGAGTGGCAAGTGGGTGTCTTCCCAATGATTGACCACCCAGAAGGGCGTGGTAAGCAGCTAAGGCCGCCACGTATACCTTCAGAGTGGAGGGAGATAACCCTGCGGAGAATCGCTCCTGCAGAAACTCCAGAACTGTACCAATTGGGCAGTTGACTGGGTCCTGCAGTCACTGTCCGCACCATGAAGCGAAAAGTTTCCACTTTCAAGGCATACTGTTTCCTAGTGGTGGGAGCTCTGGACTGGAGTATAGTCTCAACAACCTCAGTTGAGAGACCAGATGCTAGGAGCTGTGCCCCCTCAGGGGCCATGCCCACAGCTTCCATAACTCCGCCGATTGATGTAGGAGACCACCGATGTGTTGTCTGTGCGGACAAACACATGATGCCCCCTTAGGTCTGGAAGATAGTGTGTCAGAGCTCGAAACACGGCCAGCATTCCCCGGTAGTTGATGTGCCAAAAGAGATGATGGCCTTCCCACAGACCCTGGGCAGCGCGGCCACTCATGACCGCTCCCCAGCCCGTGAGAGAGGCATCCGTCGTTAGCCTTACGCGACGACAAGGAGCCCCTAACGTCGGGCCTTGAACCAGGAACCAACGTTTCTTCCACATGTCTAAGGCACGTAAGCATCGCCGCGTGACCTTGATCATGCAAAGCGGATTCCCCCTCAGGGGAAAATCCTTTGGTTCTGAGCCACCACTGCAAGCGTCTCATGTACAGCAGGCCAAAAGGTATCACGTTGGACGCCGCTGCCATCAGGCCCAACAGCCTCAGAAACTGTTTGACAGTGAGTGACTGGCCTTCTCTTACCCTCGTAACTGTCGTGAGAGACTGTGGGGCTGTAATACGGGATGAGTACGGTTTCTCCCACGATCTTGGCACCTCTGCATGGAGATCGGGGAAACGGAAGGCCCCCGTCGTGAAGGCTGTGATCTGGATTCAGATCATGCTCGTCTAATTATTTTTAGGACGAGCGTCCTGTTTCTAGGCTGGCCAAACGATATTTTATTTTGGCGCGAAACACCCCCCATAATCACAAATCACACCTCATACGCGAGGGACTGTGGTGGCGAGTCCACAGTCTCCTCTGTCTCGACACTCGTCACATCCACCTCCTCGGAGGAAGATAGATGAAGCGTCTGGCTCTTTCTCTCTCGCGGGGGGGTCCGCGAGAGAGAGAGCCGCGGATCTAGCGGGTGAGGACCGAGAAAAGGACGAGCCCATCTCGGATCCCTCCGCTAAATCCACCCGCGATCCCCACGACAACAGTCTGCGCTGTGCCTCGGCAACAGCTGGACCGCTGCCAGCTGGATCGCGAGCCTGGCCGCTCTCATCAAACGCAGCCAGGCGAGAGCGGAGCGTGCGCAGCGAGAGCTCGCAGTGATGACAATCAGCTGTTCGAAAGCTGACCGTGCATGCTTCGCTCCCAAACAAATGACACACAAATCGTGTGTATCCCCCGCCGCCAGATATCGTGGGCAGGGAGAAACACAGCGTTTGTAATGCCGTTCGTTCGCCATAGCTTTCTCATTGTTTTATATATATATGAGTGCTTGTGCGGACAGACAACAGTAAATAGACAGACACATACACAGAGCGCTACTGAAGGGCAGAAGCTGGTTTGCGCCCGGCCGGATGTGCTTTTATGCTTTCTGGTGCTTACGTCACCCTGCGCGTGACGTCTCGCTGCTCCATTGGACGGATTTGACACGTGCTTCAGAACGCGGTCACGCAAGGGGCGTTCCCAAAGCGACTCGACGCAGCTCGAGTACCTGAAGGGGAACCGAGATTTGTCAAAGCACTTACATATTATTGATGGTTTTGATTGCTTCTATTGCCCTCATTTGTAAGTCACTTTGGATAAAAGTGTCTGCTAATTTACTAAATGTAAATGTAAATATATTTATCTTGTGCATTTATACATCTTGGTTTCTTAAGTTCATGGTCAGTTATTGTCTATGCATGTTTGCCTGCTGTACCCTTTGGACAATTTTTTTGTTAATTTTAACATACAAATTTGCTGCAACAGGATCCACTGTCCCTTCTCTGCTTTGCTGTGACAGGTGTTTTATGAAGAATTGAATTACTGAAACATACATTTAAAATCTAATGGAAGTCCTTTAATTTTGTGTAATCACTTTGAATTCTTTCTTAAAGCTAAAAGCATCCGATGTATTTACTGTTCATTGAGTTTACTTCAACTGTATCAGCACAGTCAAAGCTTTCTGGAAGTCATATGTGCTCCAGATTACAAAACCTTCCAGATAAACACAATAAGTAAACACATTATCTGCTGTTTGTTTTGTTCTTTTCACAGGCTATGTGGATGTAATCTCACTGCTCAGTCCTGTGAGAGTTTGTCTTCAGCTCTACAATCCTCAAATTCTGTCCTGAGAGAGCTGGACCTGAGTAACAATGACCTGCAGGATTCAGGAGTGAAGCTTCTTTCTGATGGACTGAATAGTCCAAACTGTCAGCTGGAGATTCTGAGGTAAATGGTTCTCAAACAAATAAATTAACACAATATTCAGTGTGTTTATCAATTTATAAAGCTTGTGATGTAACTGTATATATTACTGTTTGTTTTGTTCTTTACACAGGCTATGTGGATGTAATCTCACTGCTCAGTCCTGTGCAAGTTTGTCTTCAGCTCTACAATCATCAAATTATGTCCTGAGAGAGCTGGACCTGAGTAACAATGACCTGCAGGATTCTGGAGTGAAGCTGCTTTCTGATGGACTGAAGAGTCCAAACTGTCAACTGGAGATACTGAGGTAAATAGTTCTCAAACAAATAAATTAACACAATATTCAGTGTGTTTATCAAATTGTAAAGCTTGTGATATAACTGTATATATTACTGTTTGTTTTGTTCTTTACACAGGCTATGTGGATGTAATCTCACTGCTCAGTCCTGTGCAAGTTTGTCTTCAGCTCTACAATCATCAAACTCTGTCCTGAGAGAGCTGGACGTGAGTAACAATGACCTGCAGGATTCTGGAGTGAAGCTGCTTTCTGATGGACTGAAGAGTCCAAACTGTCAACTGGAGATACTGAGGTAAATAGTTCTCAATCAAATAAATTAACACAATATTGAGTGTGTTTATCAAATTATAAAGCTTGTGATGTAAGTTGATATAAATACACAGCGCAGAAGTATGTTAATTTACATGCAAGCAGCTCTTTATCCAGTGTTTTCAGTGTCTCTGAGTGGCTTGGTTCACAGTAAATTCTGCTCCACACAAACTCCATCTCATGTAAGGGCTGAGAGTTTGGGTCACTTATTACATGGACTAAAAAATGCAACATGCATCAAACATTTGCTCTTTTTTTGACTGGTCATCTTAATTATTTTATACTTGATAAGCGCTGTTAGACAGCTGAGGCAGACCAGAAAAATGAACTTTTTGAATGTTTTGTCATCTAAACGAAAAGCCAATAGGTGCGTAGTTGAGTGCAGCAGAGTAGCATGAAGAATATTAATTTGAAGAATTTGCTGTATAATTGATAGAATGTCCTGCTCAGTGTCTGTTGTGATATAAAATAAATGAGTACATCCCTTCTGAAACTTAAATTCAACCATTGCTCTTTACTAAGAACACATGTTAAGAGTCACAAACTGCACGGAGTCATGAAAGCTGAGGATCCAAATGCAATATTTATTAAAGAGTAATCAAAATATGTAATCCAGAAACAAGCAAAAGATCATACACAGGCAATCAACCAAACAATAACAACAGTGCAATAAACACAGGCAGGGAATCAAAAACCAAGAGACATGAAAGAAGGAAACGTTTAGAATTGCAGAATTACATACAGCAAAACTTCACTTACAATGACTGAAAGATACATCACTTTTATAGGCAGAGGTAATGAGATAATGAGACACAACTGAATGCAATCAGTGATGATGAGACTAGTCAGAGAGTCCTGGAAAATGTAGTTCATGAGGCAGTAACAATATTCTGGGATGGAGTGCCCTCTGGTCAAGGACACTCCAGCTGGTGATTGTGACACTAGGGTTCATTAGATATATAATCTTCCAGCAAGTCTGCTTGATCAGTTACCGAAGAAGCAAGACAAAATTATTCAGGAAAATAAGATTTTCTTATCAAATTGATAAAATGTTGAAAGTTACTAAATAAAACTAAATAATTTTTTTCTGGTATAAGTTTAAGGCAATATTGATCAAAAGACTATTATTCTAGCCCAGGTTTTGAGAGGACTTGAATCTGAAAATTCAAAGTCAACCTGATTAGAACTGATTTGAAATTTGATAGTTTACACTTTAATCAACTGTTCGTCCAGCGAGACGTTAACGTCCGTGTATCTTAACAATCTGACTATTTGTATTTTTCCTTGGCCACAGGTCAATACACTTATAATACTTTGTAAGCTCCTAGCGACGTAACGTGATCTTGGCAAGGTTTGACTTTAAAATTACAAGACACCAGACAATACTTCTTTATAAATGAAAACAAGAATTTATTGGCTATTCTAGATTACATTAAACTACGCTAAAACACACACATACACACACATACAGTTCTAAAGAATGATGTTAACGGAGTTCTGAGGAAAGTCCAAAGTTTTTTTACTTGCAACCTCAGAAAATCAAAAAGCAGAGACTTGGCTTATGTTTACTGCTTAAAATTAGCTCGGCACCAGTTCAGCAGATAAAAGATTTTGTTTGTTTACTTGCGTTTTTGGGTGACAGCTGAAAAGCTGAGTTTCCTTGTTTGGCTGCTTGAGGTAATTATGTTGCTGATTGGTTACTGAGATGATGTCAGGACGGCATCCCTTTGGGGAAGCCCTCCGGAGATTGGTAGGTTTCTTGATGACGCAGAGGCTTGAGCAGTTCTTCTGAAAAGTCTGAGTTTGCAAGACTTTAAGTTCCTGAAGATCTCTGGCAATCACGAAGTTGCAACTGAAGTGTTTGAGTTTTGGGTGACTAATCGCTTTGATGGTAAGCATGTGAGCACAGGTTGGAGTGCTATTAACACAGCGAAAGGCGAAGAAGCAAGCAAGCACTCGAGTCTGTCTTGCATTGGGTTTTTGATCCGCGGCATAAGTCCGTCCCACGGCGCGATCTTCCAATCGACTTCTTGCTAGGAGGAGCGTACATACATTAACACGAGGCTTCAATTTATTATGTGGAGAAAAATCTTTGCGAAGATTTGGTTGATGCGTCTATAAAGTTTCTTAATGCGAGTATTGTACATACGTCCCACTTCTCATTCATACCAAAGTTTCTCACATAAAATAAGCTTTCATTCAAGCTCAAATAACAGGTATTTTGCATACACGGTAATCGTAATAACTAAAAGGAAAAGGTATAAGGCAAAGATTAAGATATCATGGTTTCAATAACACATCAAACAGAAAGCATATTATTTGGGAGTATATTGCTCCGATACTTTCAATGATTTTAAATGATTGTCTTATGAATTGTCTGTGTAAGTTCTGTTTCTTTGTCTGTGACAGGAGAAACACGTGCTTTTCTGGAAAGTAGTAAAAGGGAAAAGGGGAGGTGTCCTGAGGTCATGCCCATGTAACGATGTAACGAGTGCAATCCTTCTGCTGGACAGGGAGCTCTTAATCTGTCGCTTTCTGTTTATCGGATTTAGAACTGTTGTCCTGTTGTCTTCATGGGGTCCAGGAGTTCTTGTGCTGGAACTTTTCCAGATACCAGGTTCTTTGTTCTGTTGTCTCTTAAATCGTTATTTATGCTGAAGCCAGTCACGTTACACTGCACCCCTGATCCTCGGGGTTTCGGACAGGGGGAGTTTCTCCTCCCCTGGTGAGTTAGGGTTTAAGCACTGTTTTTATTTGAGTCTCTTGAGAC